AAATTCGTCTTTCAATAAATCGATTCAGTACGAATTTATTTAACAAAGGGAGCTTAACACCATTTCAACCGGATTTTTTATAAATTTTTTTTTTTTTTTTTTTTTTTTTTTTTCTTTAAATGTACAGTTTATTTTTCTTTGATTTTTGGAAACATTAAACTTTCATCCTTGCAACTGCTTTTGCAAAAGAATTTTGGAAAAATAATAATATATTGTATTTTTAAATTTTTTTTTAAATGAAGCTTCCGAGTACACTTCTCAGATCTTTAAAAATGTGATTTTGGCAACAATTTTCCTGTCTTATTGTTGTTGATAGATTTTTGATGAAATCGCATCATTTTAAATTGTTTCATTTTTTTTAGAAATATGGGTTTGGCAACAATTTTTCATCGTATTTTTTATGGTATTTCATCGTTTTTAAGAGATTGGCATATTTCATTGTCATTTATATATATATATAATACATTTTTATTTTGCCCTGCAGAGTAAAATTCCGCGCGGATTTTTTTTTTTTTTTTGTTTGTTTGTTTTGTTTTTTTCATGTTATTTTTTGTTTATTTCATTGTTTGTAAGATATTGAAACGTTCCGCATGATTTTTTCCCTTCAACGAAAAGTTGAATAATTTTTTATTAGGATAATTAATATTTTTATTAAGGGATATAGCTTATTTCATTGTAATTTTTTTCTCTTGAAAATATAAGATAAAATATCATTAATTATACTTTGATTTTCAGAATTTTTTGTTTTTTGTATTCTTTTATGTTATATATTGCTCATTTCACAGTTTTTAAGATATTGAAAAGTTTTGAGTGATTTTTTTAGGAAATAAAGTTCTTAACCTCCTTTATACCATTTGAGTTCTTAAGATTTTGCAAAGGGAAGTTGGTTAATTTATTTATTAGGATAATTAATATTTGTATTAAAGGATATTGTTTATTTCTTTGTAATTTTGTTATACGTAGTAACTTTTTTTTATGAAGTTGTTCTGCAGAGTAAAATTCTACGCAGTTTTTAAATTTAACATTTGGTGTTCCCTTCAGCCATTTTTCCGGTACATTTAAAAGCCAGACGAAGGCTGGCAGCGAAGCTCCTAGTTAAAAATGAAAATTATTTTCTTCGAAATCTTTTCTCAACTTATATCCTTTCATACGTTGTTATAATAATAATTCATGTGCACACAATAAAGTTCGTTCGAATACAAAAAATTGTTTTTGATTACATTTTTATTTCGGCACAACAGATGTAAACGGTTAAAAAACGCAGTTCCTTTTTCAGAATATTTTTTTCAGCATAAATCATCTACTTTTTTCTTGTATGTGTGAGGGCCAATAAGGGCCCGAGCGATAAAGTCGCTGAACACTGGTAGTTTTGTGCGGGGCTCGAATCTCGGTGGACGGACTGGCTGCATGAACGTTTTCGTAGTTTTTTCCATGTGTAACGTGTATGCGAGCCAGTTTCCCTTAGAAAGTCCCTCCACGAAGGCACCCCTCCTCTTAAGACAGCTCTAGTGTGCTCTAGTGTGCTCCTCTTAAGACAGCTCTAGTGTAACAAACCAAACCAACTAGTATGTGTGTGCGCGCCGAACGCACATATGATGACTTTTTTTCAAGTGTTTTTAAGTTTAACAACAGTTTACACTGAGCAGCGAATTACTAAAAATTTTCTTAAATGAATAAAACTGTGCTTATTGCATTATGAAATAGTACTGATTGACAAATTTTGAGCTTTCTGTTATCCCTAAAAAAAGGTAACACAAATATTTTCTTACCTTTTAAACATTTCTTTTTTTCTTGATTCCTACTTCATTTGTATATTTGCAAATGTGTGTATCGATGTTTGGTACATAGTTGACATTTGCTATGTAATGTTCCCTATGTCAAGAAATGTGCCTCTCAAGAACGACTTTTTGAAAGGGGGGTTGAATTGGGGGAAAGTCCCCCGTCCGTGAGTAGGGGTATTGATGAGGGGGTGTTGAAAAGCAGTGGACGAAATGGGAAATAAATTGTCAGTAGGGGTGTCTAAAGAGGGGATGAGGGATAGCAGCGAATAAACCGGTACGATTTTAATCACAGGAGGAAACCGGGAAATCTTCGTCTTAATTGGGGATGTGGATGAAATTACAATTTCGCAAGAACTAAAGCTCAGCCGAGCATTTGCTAAATTTAGGCTCTGAATGAGCAAATAATATAATGACTCAAAGGATGATAGAAACAAAGACCATGATTTTTACGGCATACCAATGAAGAAAGGAAAACAATCAAAGCTCCACTAATGAGAATATAGAGAATGCTGGAAATAGTACTAGTGTGTGGATGGAAATTTGGTTACGTAGTCCTTTCGTCCAATTCTCCCCCATTGTCCTAATCTCAGCCCATGTGCTAGATGGAGAGAGAGAGATGGAGGATTTTTTTTTTAACTCTATCTAAGTCTTCATTACTTCTGTTTTCTTATCTTTAACTTACTCTGATATCTACAGTTAGTAAACTATTTTTTTAAATGAGTTTCATTATTGTTAAAATACCTTGTTTAGATTCTTGTATTTTTTATTATTATCTTTTAATTTTAAATCAGTTATTGCTTAATTTACATATTTTGATGATTTATTTACATATGTAAGCGATTTTAGATCATAAGCGTTGATAAGAAAACACAACAATTCTTACAATAAATAAGAATAGTAACATCCTTTTCATATATAAAATTTCCACATACATATAAAACAAAGTTAACTTTTATGCAATAACGAGGCATTATTTGTTTTTCATTCCCATATTCTCTCTATTCAATGTCAAACGCGATTACTGCAGAGTAATATTTCGAGAATGGTTATTATAGATACTTTTTGAGCTGGGGGAGAATTGAACTATTTGATTAGTGCAATGTAACATTTCCTGAATACCGAAAATTAGTCACTCACTGGGGAAAAAAAATTACTAGACGAATATTATTTTGATTAAAGCCCTAAATAATAAGTTAGTATGCTAAAAATTTCTTTTCGTCTGCCTACATTTAAAGCAGAAATAGCTTAAAATTCCTTGCATCGAAAAAATTTGCATATTTTCATGCAAAGTAACTTAAGTAAAAGACTCGCAACTCGAGATTTTCCATATGCATAACGGGAAGATTATTCTCTTTCCGGTAAACAGCATTCTACGAATACAAATCTTCTGCTAGGCTGATAGTTTTCATGTATCCTGCAATTAATCAAAATTCAATCTTCCTCAAAGGTAGACACTCCAGTCAAAACTATTTTGCGCTAGTTCCCAATCAGATCCGCATTCGTCTTCTCAATTTATTTACTGTTATATCTTTATTCTTGAAATAAACGTAAGAAAACTTTGTCTGTTCAGGTAGTCATATCTAGAACGAGGTCGATCGTGAGCTACTAGTACATCATCACAACACTCTTAATAGCTCACATATAAATATTTTTTTAAGGTAATATAAAAAATAATATAATAATGAATACATGATTATATACTAAATTCAAATCATAACTCGAAAGTCGTGAGATAAACACAGCAGTTATATGACTTAAATGAATACAGAGTCGGCATTGCGCGACTCTCTACTCTACCAGCGTTCTTCTGTCCACTTGATATCTTTGCTTTGGTCTATACAGCCGAAGATTAATTTATTTGCGGCAGTAGTTAGAATTTTGGGCTAGCTTGTTAGCTAATTAATTTAGACTTATTTGTTATTTACTTAAGTTCTGATTTTGCGTTATTAGCACATTGTGTGCGGATGAACTTGTGAGGCCAAGTAGGCGAGCTTTGTTAAATTCTTCTTGTAAGTGAAAGGTTGATTTATGGCTTGGCAAGATATACCTGCATGCAATGAGTTAAACTACCAGTGCTCTACAGTATTATCCATTCAACTGCTGCTGATGAACACTAATTATGAAAAATGGTAACAATTTGTCGGAGTCTGAAAGCTGTTTGTCTGTTTTATAGAACGATTTCCACTTTACTTTGCAGCAATATCTTTGGATAAAGTTACGATTACATGATGTATCATCATTGGTATTTTTTCATTTCAAAACTGATTTGGCAGTTGCATTTTCTTTCCTTTAGAAGAATTATTCATAGTAGTAGAATAACTATATAAATATGATTCTTTATAATTGCTTTTTTTCAAGCAGATTTAATAAACTATCATCATTCAATTCATTATACTATCTACTTTATCACAAATAGGTGCGTATTTGAGAATAACTATGCACTTAGTTACATAATTAACATTAATTTACTGCTTTACAATGGTTACACTAATGTTATGTTTTCAGAATATATAATGTGTTAAATGGTCTAAAGTCTATTTTGCTTGGTTTAAGGTTGCTTTCTAAGAACCATTATAAAATTTAATTAATTTGTTAATAAATTGAGTGTGAAATATTAAATTAATACAAAACTACTTATTTGTACATAAGAAACAAATACTTGAAATATTCTTACTTCAGGTTGTATTTTGTGATTATACATATGACACCGTGTGCAAAATATAATATCTCTGCTGAAAATTTCTAAGAACAAACATAGAATACTATTATGAAAGTTGGTAAAGATAACATATGAAACCTTTATTCTCCTAAAAAGTACAGCAACAAATTTTTTAATAGAATGCTATATTATTTTACACACTGTAAATTTAGAAATAATTATATATAATGTTTAAAATATATAAAGAACATACATGACAGGCAATGTATTCATAGATTGGTTGTTATATAAAATAGTTAATGTGCATGTTACCTTGCTTATTTTAAATTTTATAAAATTATTTTAAAAAATCTTTCGCGGAGCCGGATTGATAGTCCTGAAAAAACATGCAATGAACATTTTTGTTTTGTTTTATTTTTTGAGATACAACACCGTAAACAACATACACTAATTTATTTACAAATGCATTTCTTTCTTTTGATCTCCAGAATTTTATTACCCATTTCACATGAGTATTCTACAGATTTTTTATTCACTTCGGTATCTTTTCTGAGATAAAATCTAGAAAATTATTACAGAAAATTATACATTATTAAGTCATTTATTTCTAAATAAAAATGATAATATCAACTCAGATACATAAAGAGGCATTTGAGTGAGAGACGAATAAAAACCAACCCCTTAACTTGTTGATATAAAAAACTGCTCACCAAGAGTAGTCTCCGGCAGTGTCTTATTCTGACTGGGTCAGTTTCTTCAATTACCGGTTGGTTTTAGCAAACTTTGTACATATAAATATTACATATTATACATATTTTACACATTTCTGTATTTTGAACTATTCTTGTTTTGTTATTCTTATTCAGATCCCTTTTTATGTTGGCCTATTGATAAATCAATGATTATGATTATAATATGATATGTAAAGCATTATGTTTGTTCAGGTCGATCATAACAATTCCTAACATTGTTTTAAATGACATTCGATTCGACAACATTAGGAAAATTATATATGGACATTAAAAATTAAAAAAACTATGAAACATTTTATGCACATTTTAAAAAACTTACAAAAATAATTAAATTAAGCATTACAGAAAGAACAATTTCATATTATTTTTAGCGAAGTAATCTTTTGTTCATGTTTAAAAATAAAACTTTTTCCATTCGTTTTGGTTGAATGGAACAACGTTTTTCACTTTGTATTTGCCCCGATTTCGAAAACGTTCTTTCGGATGGTCCCGAGGTAGCCATGATCGATAAATATTTCTCTGCTAAAATTGAAAGTTCGGGGTAGAGTAATGCCCGCGCCTGCCACCATTTTAATGGGCACTCATTCCTAGAAAGAATGCGTTCCTCAAAATATTGCCTCATAGTGACGATGCTGGATACAGTTGAGTTTGAGACGGAGTTTGATGTCACTCTTGCATCAAAGTCTTTCCATATTGAGTCCTCGTTAGTGTCAGTGAATATTGCTGGCGTGACTTTATTTGATTGCACTGTCTGCTGTTTGTCAACATTAAAATATTTTTCAAGTTCAGTTTTCAGCAGAGTTTTAGCACACTCATAATTTGATTCATCAGCTAGTCTGAATGCCAACTTCTTAAACCGCGGGTCTAATAGTGCTGCTTTAGATAATATTGGGTTTCTATAACAATTTTTGAACCTGTATTTGAATTCTGTTATTATTTTATTAGATAGATTTTTTCCAATTTCTGTATTAATATTTAAATTTAAATTTTCAAACATGCTAATTACACTTTCAGTCGCAGCTAAGACCATTGAAACAGTAACCTTATTTTCAGACGACATTTCTTCGGTTAGCTGCTTAAATGGTCTTAAAATTTTAATTACATCTGGAAGAGCCTGCCAGTCACTTTCTGACAGATTTGCAACTGGATTGTGTAGGAGTCCAAGGGCCGCTTCTAGAGGCTCCTGAAGGATACACATTCTTTCTAGCATATCCAGGGTGCTGTTCCATCTGGTCACTATGTCCATTTTTAATTTAAGAGGCTTTTCGCCAGGCCTCAGCTGCTTTTGCACCTCAGCAAATTTTTTCGTTGCCAACGGACTTCTGTGAAAATGCTCCACGATGGTTTTTATTTTTTTTATGAGGCAATCTAGTTCAGCGCCCTGAAGTCCCGCACGCACAATTAAATTAAGCGTATGCGCGACACAAGGCAAATGTTCAAAATTGGCCAACCGTATGGCTGCTTTCATATTTGCTGCATTGTCTGTTACGCAGACAAATATTTTATTTTGTAAATTCCAATGGGACAGCAAGTTACATAATTCCTTCTTTATATATTCGGCTGTATGTCGCTCATGACATTCAAAACAGCCCAATAGTGCATACTTCAGCTCCCAATTTAATATATAATGGGCAGTAACGGCCTGATGTGAAGTCGCTGCTCGCGAAGTCCAAGCATCGGTCGTAATTGATACAAAGTTTGCACTCTGCAATTCTTCTTTTAATCTGCTTTGGACTTCAAGGTACTGAGCGTCCAGGAAGGTATTACTAAATGTGTACCTTGAAGGTAATTTGTAACCAGGTTCTAAATAATTAATTAGCTCTTTAAAACCAGTATCTTCAACGACAGAAAAAGGCTGTAGGTCTTTGACTATCATATTAAAAATTAAGTCATTTATTTTTTTTTCCCGTACTACACTTACGGGGCGTTTAAGGAAAGTACTCAGCGTCGTTTGTTTTAAATTTGTTTGAGATATCAGTTCTATTGAATGATTAATATGTTCAGTACTTGCTGCTGATGTTGATGACACAGGAACTTCTTGAATTATTGTATCCGACATGGAGCATAGAATGACGTTTTCGTAAGTTGACCTGTGTTTTTTTATGAGGTGTTTTTTTTAAATTTGTTGTTGAGCCACCTTTTACTGAATATAGCGAGTGGCAAATATCACATTTTGCCTTCTCATCGGTAGCCTGTGTAAAAAACCTCCATAGCCGACTTCTCTTCCTATCCATTATAGATTGCACTGTAACATAAAATAATAAAAGCTCGTTAAAAATGTTAGTGAAAATAAGTATCAAATATAAATAATAAATGCAGTCTATATAAGTTGAAATCAGTAAAATCTCATTCAGTCAGTCTTAAAATAAATTACTTATATTTGCATAATGAAACTCAGAATCGTAAGAAGTGAACGTGCGCCAAGCTATATATTGGCTAGAGACTGAAGGTCGTAAGATCGATCCTCAATTTGACTACCTGTATCTTGTATAGGCCTTACACCTACCTTGTACTTGAGCCAACGGTCTCCATCACTCAATATTTTCTCTTTCAGATACTGTATTAAATTATGTTCCTATTATTATTGCTAAAATAGGTAAGCCTGATGATATTTAGGCCTGATAACGAGTCTATGTAAGTTATTTTTTTAACACTTCGATTTGAAATGTCTGTGAAGATTATTAATTTAATCTTCGTTATACTTAAGCAAAATTTTTTTGAATAGTATTATTATTTATATTTTTAATTACGATTGTATATACTTTCTAACATCCCTTCAGGAAGCTATTAAAATTTTATTCAAAAATAGTCTATCTGATAATTACTGTTTAACTTAAATTAAAATCTTAAAATCTAGAATATTTCCTTACGTTGATACCGATATTTAATGACAACAGTATTACACTTAAGGAAATACATCTTATTGGCTGGTACTGCGTGAGTCAGTAATGAAAATATGAATAAGCATCTAATTTCTTCCATGTAATCTTTAAAGTAATTTTTAAGAGCAATAATATTACTAAACTAATCTTAATTTTCATTTTACACAATAGTTTTGGTTCTAGACACAACACAATAAAAACTTTAACATATAACGTAACAAATTACTTTTATATGCCATCAGAAATTCATAAACCCTAATTTTTATTGATTACACACGATATTGATCCTTAAGCGTTTGTTTATATTTTACTTTCCTTTCAGCCATCATAAACTTCTCATTAGTTCAAAAACCGCTCTATTTTCCTTGACCATAAAATTTTCGTTACCTTGAGAAAACATATAATGACGTTTTCATTAACTAAGCACAGTTCAGGACAATAAACAAAGGCCCCATTCAGATTCCACTCACTGATAAGGAGAGTTCCCCCCCCCCCCGCAGTGCAAAA